GTCCACGTCCACGTCCAAGTCCACGTCCACGTCCATGTCCAAGTCCACGCGACCACGTCTACGTCCACGTCCACGTCCACGTCCAGGTCCACGTCCACGTCCACGACCACGTCCACGACCACGTCCATGACCACGTCCTCGTCCACGTCCACGTCCACGTCCACGTCCACGTCCACGACCACGTCCACGTCCACGTCCACGTCCACGTCCACGACCACGTCTACGTCCACGTCCACGTCCTCCACGTCCACGTCAACGTCCTCCACGTCCACGTCCAGGTCCACGACCACGTCCACGTCCACGACCACGTCCACGTCCACGACCACGTCCATGTCCACGTCCACGTCCACGTCCTCCACGTCCACGTCCTCCACGTCCACGTCCACGTCCACCTCCACGTCCAAGTCCACGTCCACGTCCACGTCTGCGTCCACGACCACGTCCACGTCCACGTCCACGTCCACGTCCACGACCACGTCCACGTCCACGTCCACGTCCACGTCCACGGCCAGGTCCACGTCCACATCCAGGGCCAGGTCCACGTCCACGTCCACGTCCACGTCCACGTCCAAGTCCACGTCGTCGTCCACGTCCACGTCCTCGACCACGACCACGTCCACGTCCACGTCCACGGCCACGTCCACGTCCACGTGCACGACCACGTCCACGTTCGAGTCCAAGTCCCCGTCCACGTCCACATCCAAGTCCACGTCCACGTCCACGTCCACGTTCAAGTCCAAGTCCCCGTCCACGTCCACGTCCAAGTCCACCTCCACGTCCACGTCCACGTCCAAGTCCACGTCGACGTCCACGTCCACGTCCACGACCACGTCCACGTCCTCCACGTCCACGTCCTCCACGTCCACGTCCTCGTCCACGTCCACGTCCACGTCCACGTCCACGTCCACGACCACGTCCACCTCCACGTCCACGACCACGTCCACGTCCACGTCCAAGTCCACGTCCACGTCCACGTCCAAGTCCACGTCCACGTCCACGTCCAGGTCCACGTCCACGTCCACGTCCAGGCCACGTCCACGTCCACGTCCACGGCCACGTCCACGTCCACGTCCAAGTCCACGTCCACGTCCACGTCCAAGTCCACGCGACCACGTCTACGTCCACGTCCACGTCCACGTCCAGGTCCACGTCCACGTCCACGACCACGTCCACGACCACGTCCATGACCACGTCCTCGTCCACGTCCACGTCCACGTCCACGTCCACGTCCACGACCACGTCCACGTCCACGTCCACGTCCACGACCACGTCCACGTCCACGTCTACGTCCTCGTCCACGATCACGTCCACGTCCACGTCCACGTCCGCGTCCACGTCCGCGTCCACTTCCGCGTCCACTTCCGCGTCCACGTCCACGTCCACGTCGGCGTCCACGTCCGCGTCCACGTCCGCGTCCACGTCCGCGTCCGCGTCCGCGTCCGCGTCCACGTCCGCGTCCGCGTCCACGTCCACGTCCGCATCCGCGTCCACGTCCGCGTCCCCGTCCGCGTCCACGTCCGCGTCCACGTCCGCGTCCACGTCCACGTCCGCGTCCACGTCCGCGTCCACGTCCACGTCCGCGCCCACGTTCAGGTCCACGTCCGCGTCCATGTCCAGGTCCACGTCCGCGCCCACGTCCAGGACCACGTCGAGGTCCACGTCCACGCCTACGTCCAGGTCCACGACCAGGTCCACGTCCACGCCCACGACCACGTCCACGACCACGTCCACGTCCAGGTCCAGGTCCAGGTCCACGTCCACGTCTACGTCCACGTCCACCACGTCCACGACCACTTCCACGTCCAAGTCCACGTCCATGTCCATGTCCACGTCCTCCACGTCCACGTCCACGTTCTCCACGTCCACGTCCACGTACACGTCCACGTCCACATCCACGTCCACCACGTCCCCGACCACGTCCACCTCCACGTCCACGTCCACGTCCACGACCACGTCCACGTCTACGTCCACGTCCACGTCTACGTCCACGTCCACGTCCACGACGACGTCCACGTCCACGTCCACGTCCACGTCCAAGTCCACGTCAACGTCCAAGTCCACGTCCACGTCCAGGTTCACGTCCTGGTCCACGTCTAGGTCCAGGTCCACATCCACGTCGACGTCCAAGTCCAAGTCTAAGTCCACGTCCAAGTCCACGTCCACGTCCACGTCCACGTCCAGGTCCACGTCCACGTCCACGTCCACGTCCACGACCACGTCCACGTCCACGTCCACGTCTACGACCACGTCCACGTCCACGTCCACGACCACGTCCGCGTCCACATCCACGTCCACGTCCACGTCCACGTCCAAGACCACGTCCACGTCCACGTCCACGATCACGTCCACGTCACGTCCACGTCCACCACCACGTCCACCACCATGTCCACATCCACGTCCATGTCCATGTCCACGTCCACGTCCACGTCCACGTCCACGACCACGTACACGTCCACGTCCACGCCCACGTCCATGTCCACGTCCATGTCCAAGTCCACGTCCACGTCCACGTCCACGTCCACGTCCAGGTCCAGGTCCACGTCCACGACCACGTCCACGTCCACGACCACGTCCACATCCACGTCCACGTCCAGGTCCACGTCCAGGTCCACGTCCACGTCAACGAGCACGTCCACGACCACGTCCACGTACACGTCCACGTCCACGTCCACGTCCAAGTCCATGTCCACGTCCAGGTCCACGTCAACGTCCACGTCCACGTCCACGTCCAGGTCCACGTCCACGTCCAGGTCCACGTCCACGTCCAGGTCCACGTCCACGTCCTCCACGTCCACGTCCACGTCCTCCACGTCCAGGTCCACGTCCACGTCCACCATGTCCAGGACCACGTCCACCTTCACGTCCACGTCCACGTCCACGTCAACGACCACGTCCACGTCCACGTCCACGTCCACGTCCACGTCTACGTCTACGTCTATGTCCACGTCCACGTCTACGTCCACGTCCACGACCATGTCCAAGTCCACATCCACGTCCACGTCCATGTCCACGTCCACGTCCACGTCCACGACCACGTCCACGTCCACGTCCACGACCACGTCCACGCCCACGTCTACGTCCACGTCCACGTCCAGGACCACGTCCACGACCACGTCCACGTCCACGTCCACGTCCAAGTCCACGTCCACGTCCACGTCCACGACCACGTCCTCCACCTCCACGTCCATGTCCACGTCCAATCCACATCACGTCCACGACCACGTCCAAGTCCACGTTCACGTCCACGTCCTCCACCTCCACGTCCATGTCCACGTCCACATCCACATCACGTCCACGACCACGTCCAAGTCCACGTCCACGTCCACGTCCACGTCCTCCACGTCCACGTCCACGTCCACGTCCACCACGTCCACGTCCACGTCTACGACCACGTCTACGTCCACGTCCACGTCCACGACCACGTCCACGTCCACGACCACGTCCACGTCCACGTCCACGACCACCTCTACGTCCACGTCCACGACCACGTCCACGTCCACGTCTACGTCCACGTCCACGTCCACGACCACGTCCACGTCCAAGTCCACGTTCAAATCCACGTCCACGTCCAAGTCCACGTCCACGTCCAGGTCCACGTCCAGGTCTTGGTCCACATCCACGTCCAAGTCCACGTCCACGTCCACGTCCAAGTCCACGTCCACGTCCAGGTCCACGTCCACGTTCACATCCACGTCCACGTCCACGTCCACGTTCACATCCACGTCCATGTCCACGTCCACGTCCAAATCCACGTCCACGTCCACGTCCACGTCCACGTCCAGATCCACGTCCACATCCACGTCCACGTCCACCACGTCCACGTCCACGTCCTAGTCCACGTCCACGTCCACCTCCACGTCCTCCACGTCCACGTCTACGATCTCCACGTCCACGTCCACATCCATGTCCACGTCCACATCCACGTCCACCACGACCACGACCAAGTCCACGTCCACGTCCACATCCACGACCACGTCCACGTCTATGTCCACGTCCACGTCTACGTCCACGTCCACGTCCACGACGACAACCACGTCCACGCCCACGTCCACGTCCAAGTCCACGTCCACATCCAAGTCGACGTCCATGTCCAGGTTCACGTCCAGGTCCACGTCCAGGTCCACGTCCACGTCCACGTCCGTCCACGTCCACGTCCAAGTCCACGTCCACGTCCAGGTCAAGGTCCACGTCTACGTCCACGTTCACGTCCACGTCCACGTCCACATCCACGTCCACAACCATATCCACGTCCACGTCCACGTCCACGTCCATGTCCATGTCCACATCCAAGTCCACGTCCAGGTCCACGTCCAGATCCACGTTCACGTCCACGTCCACGTCCACGTCCACCTCCACGTCCACCACGTCCACGACCACGTCCACCCCCACGTCCACGTCCAAGTCCACGTCCACGTCCACATCCAAGTCCACGTCCACGTCCAAGTCCACGTCCACGTCCAGGTTCACGTCCTGGTCCACGTCTAGGTCCAAGTCCACGTCCACGTCCACGTCCACGTCCAGGTCCACGTCCACGTCCAAGTCCACGTCCACGTCCACGTCCATGTCCTCCACGTCCACGTCCACGTTCTCCACGTCCACGTCCACGTCCACGTCCTCGTCCACATCCTTGTCCACCACGTCCACGACCACGTCCACTTCCACGTCCACGTCCACGTCCACGTCCACGACCACGTCCACGTCTACGTTCATGTCCACGTCTACGTCAACGTCCACGTCCATGACGACGTCCACGTCCACGTCCACGTCCACGTCCACGTCCAGGTCCACGTCCAGGTTCACGTCCAGGTCCACGTCGAGGTCCAGGTCCACATCCAAGTCCACGTCTACGTCCAGGTCCAGGTCCACGTCTACGTCCACGTTCACATCCACGCCCAGGTCCACATCAACGTCCACGACCACATCCACGTCCACGTCCACGTCCACATCCATGTCCACGTCCACATCCAAGTCCACGTCCACGTCCACGTCCAGATCCACATTCACGTCCACGTCCACGTCCACGTCCACCACGTCCACGACCACGTCCACGTCCACGTCACGTCCACGTCCACCACCACGTCCACGTCCACGTCCACGTCCACGTCCACGTCCACGTCCATGCCCACGTCCATGTCCACGTCCACGTCCACGTCCATGTCCACGTCCAGGTCCACGTCCACGTCCACGACCACGTCCACGTCCACGACCACGTCCATGTCCACGTCCACGTCCACGACCACGTCCAAGTCCACGTCCACGTCCACGACCACGTCCACGTCCACGTCCACGTCCACGTCCACGTCCACGTCCATGTCCACGTCCACGTCCACGACCACGTCCACGTCCAGGTCCACGTCCACGTCCACGACCACGTCCACGTCCAGGTCCACGTCCACGTCAACGAGCACATCCACGACCACGTCCACGTACACGTCCACATCCACGTCCACGTCCACGTCCAAGTCCATGTCCACGTCCAGGTCCACGTCAACGTCCACGTCCACGTCCACGTCCACGTCCAGGTCCACGTCCACGTCCAGGTCCACGTCCACGTCCAGGTCCACGTCCATGTCCTCCACGTCCACGTCCACGTCCTCCACGTCCAGGTCCACGTCCACGTCCACCACGTCCACGACCACGTCCACCTCCACGTCCACGTCCACGTCCACGTAAACGACTACGTCCACGTCCACGTCCACGTCCTCTACGTCTACGTCCACGTCCACGTCTACGTCCACGTCCACGACCAAGTCCACGTCCACATCCACGTCCACGACCACGTCCACGTCCACGACCACGACCACGCCCACGTCCACGTCCACGACCACGTCCACGCCCACGTCTACGTCCACGTCTACGTCCACGACCACGTCCACGTCCACGTCCACGTCCAAGTCCACGTCCACGTCCATGTCCACGACCACGTCCACATCCTCGTCCACGACCACGTCCACGTCCACGTCCACGTCCACCACGTCCACGACCACGTCCACCTCTACGTCCACGTCCACGTCCATGTCCACGTCCACGTCCATGTCCACGTCTACGTCCACGTCCACGTCCACGACCACGTCCTCGTCCAAGTCCACGTTCAAATCCACGTCCACGTCCAAGTCCACGTCCACGTCCAGGTTCACGTCTAGGTCCACGTCCAGGTCCAGGTCCACGTCCACGTCCAAGTCCACGTCCACGTCCACGTCAAAGTCCACATCCACGTCCAGTTCCACGTCCACGTTCACGTCCACGTCCATTTCCACGTCCACATCCACATCTACGTCCACGTCCACGTCCACGACCACGTCCACGTCCAAGTCCACGTCCAAATCTACGTCCACATCCAAGTCCACGTCCACGTCCAGGTTCACGTCCAGGTCCAGGTCCAGGTCCAGGTCCACGTCCACGTCCAAGTCCACGTCCACGTCCACGTCCACGTCCACGTCTAGGTTCATGTCCAGGTCCACGTCCTGGTCCAGGTCCACGTCCACGTCCAAGTCCACGTCCACGTCCACGTCCAAGTCCACGTCCACGTCCAGGTCCACGTCCAGGTTCACGTCCACGTCCACGTCCACGTCCACGACCATGTCCACCTCTACGTCCACGTCCACGTCCATGTCCACGTCCACGTCCACGTCTACGTCCACGTCCACGTCCACGACCACGTCCACGTACACATCCACGTCCACGTCCACCTCCACGTCCACGTCCACGTCCAAGACCACGTCCATGTCCACGTTCATTTCCACGACCACGTCCACGTCCACGTCCACGTCCACCACCACGTCCACCACCACGTCCACGTCCACGTCCATGTCCACGTCCACGTCCACGACCACGTCCACGTCCACGTCCACGTCCACGACCACGTACACGTACACGTCCACGTCCACGCCCTCGTCCATGTCCACGTCCATGTCCTAGTCCACGTCCACGTCCACGTCCACGTCCACGTCCACGACCACGTCCACGTCCACGACCACGTCCACGTCCACGTCCACGTCCAGGTCCACGTCTAGGTCCACGTCCACGTCAACGACCACGTCCACGACCACGTCCACGTACACGTCCATGTCCACGTCCACGTCCAAGTCCATGTCCACGTCCAGGTCCACGTCCACCTCCACGTCCACGTCCAAGTCCACGTCCACGTCCACGTCCACGTCCACGTCCAAGTCCACGTCCATGTCCACGTCCACGTCCACGTCCACGACCACGTCCAGGTCCACGTCCACGTCTATGACCACGTCCACGTCCACGTCCACGACCACATCCACGTCCACGTCCACGTCCACGTCCACGTCCACGTCTACGACCACGTCCAAGTCCAAGTCCACGTCCACGTCCATGCCCACTCCAAGTCCACGTCCACGTCCACGTCCACGTCCAGGTCGACGACCACGTCCACGTCCACGACCACGTCCACGTCCAGGTCCACGTCCACGTCCATGTCCGCGTCCACGTCCACGACCACGTCCACCTCCGCGTCCACGACCACATCGATGTCCGCGTCCACGACCACGACCACGTCCAAGTCCATGTCCATGTACACGTCCACGTCGACGTCCACGTCCACCACCACGTCCACCACCACGTCCACGTCCACGTCCATGTCCACGTCCACGTCCACGTCCATGTCCACGTCCAAGTCCACGTTCAAATCCACGTCCACGTCCAAGTTCACGTCCAGGTCCACGTCCAGGTCCAGGTCCACGTCCACGTCCAAGTCCACGTCCACGTCCACGTCCAAGTCCACGTCCACGTCCAGTTCCACGTCCACGTTCACATCCACGTCCATTTCCACGTCCACATCCACATCTACGTCCACGTCCACGTCCATGACCACGTCCACGTCCAAGTCCACGTCCAAATCCACGTCCACATCCAAGTCCACGTCCACGTCCAGGTCCACGTCCAGGTTCACGTCCTGGTCCACGTCTAGGTCCAGGTCCATGTCCAAGTCCACGTCCACGTCCAGGTCCACGTCCACGTCCACGTCCACGACCACGTCCACGTCCACGTCCACGACCACGTCCATGTCCACGTCCACGACCACGTCCACGTCCAGGTCCACGTCCAGGTCCACGTCCACGTCAACGACCACGTCCACGACCACGTCCACGTACACGTCTACGACCACGTCCACGTCCACGTCCAAAACCATGTCCACGTCCAGGTCCACGTCCACGTCCACGTCCACGTCCAAGTCCACGTCCACGTCCACGTCCACGTCCAAGTCCACGTCCATGTCCACGTCCACGTCCACGTCCACGACCACGTCCAGGTCCACGTCCACGTCTATGACCACGTCCACGTCCATGTCCACAACCATATCCACGTCCACGTCCACGTCCACGTCCACGTCTACGACCACGTCCAAGTCCAAGTCCACGTCCACGTCCATGCCAACTCCAAGTCCACGTCCACGTCCATGTCCACGTCCAGGTCGACGACCACGTCCACGTCCACGACCACGTCCACGTCCAGGTCCACGTCCACGTCCACGTCCGTGTCCACGTCCACGACCACGTCCACCTCCGCGTCCACGATCACATCGATGTCCGCGTCCACGACCACGACCACGTCCAAGTCCACGTCCATGTACACGTCCACTTCGACGTCCACGTCCACCACCACGTCCACCACCACGTCCACGTCCACGTCCATGTCCACGTCCACGTCCACGACCACGTCCACGTCCAAGTCCACGTTCAAATCCACGTCCACGTCCAAGTCCACGTCCACGTCCAGGTTCACGTCCAGGTCCACGTCCAGGTCGAGGTCCACGTCCACGTCCAAGTCCACGTCCACGTCCACGTCCAAGTCCACGTCCACGTCCAGTTCCACGTCCACGTTCACGTCCACGTCCATTTCCACGTCCACATCCACATCTACGTCCACGTCCACGTCCACGACCACGTCCACGTCCAAGTCCACGTCAAAATCCACGTCCACATCCAAGTCCACGTCCACGTCCAGGTCCACGTCCAGGTTCACGTCCTGGTCCACGTCTAGGTCCAGGTCCACGTCCAAGTCCACGTCCACGTCCAGGTCCAGGTCCACGTCCACGTCCACGTCCACGACCACGTCCACGTCCACGTCCACGTCCACGACCACGTCCATGTCCACGTCCACGACCACGTCCACGTCCACATCCACGTCCACGTCCACCTCCACGTCCACGTCCACGTCCAAGACAACGTCCACGTCCACGTCCACGAGCACGTCCACGTCACCTCCACGTCCACCACCACGTCCACCACCACGTCCACGTCCACATCCATGTCCACGTCCACGTCCACGTCCACGTCCACGTCCACGTCCTCCACGTCCACGTCCAAGTCCACGTCCACGTCCACGTCCACGTCCACGACCACGTCAACGTCCACGTCCACGTCCACGTCCACGTCCACGTCCACGTCCACGACCACGTCCACGTCCACGTCCACGTCCACGTCCAGGTCCACGTCCACGTCCACGTCCACGTCCACGACCATGTCCACGTCTACGACCACGTCCACGTCCACGACCACGTCCACGTCCACGTCCACGTCCTCCACGTCCACGTCCTCCACGTCCACGTCCTCCACGTCCACGTCCACGTCCACCTCCACGTCCAAGTCCACGTCCACGTCCACGTCTGCGTCCACGACCACGTCCACGTCCACGTCCACGTCCACGACCACGTCCACGTCCACGTCCACGTCCACGGCCAGGTCCACGTCCACGTCCAGGGCCAGATCCACGTCCACGTCCATGTCCACGTCCACGTCCACGTCCAAGTCCACGTCCTCGTCCACGTCCACGTCCTTGACCACGACCACGTCCACGTCCACGTCCACGGCCACGTCCACGTCCACGTCCAAGTCCACGTCCACGTCCACGTCCACGTGCACGACCACGTCCACGTTCAAGTCCAAGTCCCCGTCCACGTCCACGTCCAAGTCCACGTCCACGTCCACGTCCACGTCCAAGTCCACGTCCACGTCCACGTCCACGTCCATGACCACGTCCACGTCCTCCACGTCCACGTCCTCCACGTCCACGTCCACGTCCACGACCACGTCCACGTCCTCCACGTCCACGTCCTCCACGTCCACGTCCACGTCCACGTCCACGTCCACGTCCACGTCCACATCCACATCCACGTCCACGACCATGTCCACATCCACGTCCAAGTCCACGTCCACGTCCACGTCCACGTCCACGTCCACGTCCATGTGCACGACCACGTCCACGTTCAAGTCCAAGTCCCCGTCCACGTCCACGTCCAAGTCCACGTCCACGTCCACGTCCAAGTCCACGTCCACGTCCACGTCCACGACCACGTCCACGTCCTCCACGTCCACGTCCTCCACGTCCACGTCCTCGTCCACGTCCACGTCCACGTCCACGTCCATTCCTCGTCCACGTCCACGTCCACGTCCACGTCCATGTCCAAAGCCAGGTCCACGTCCACGTCCACGGCCACGTCCACGTCCACGTCCACGTTCAAGTCCACGTCCACGTCCACGTCCACGTCTACGACAACGTCCACGTACACGTCCACGTCCACGTCCACGTCCACGTCCACGTTCTCCACGTCCAAGCCACGTCCACGTCCACGTTCTCCACGTCCAGGCCACGTCCACGTCCACGTCCACGTCCACGTCCACGACCACGTCCACGTCCACGTCCACGTCTACGACCACGTCCACGTCCACGTCTACGTCCACGACCACGTCCACGTCCACGTCCATGTCCACGACCACGTCCACGTCCACGACCACGTCCACGTCCACGTCCACGTCCACGTCCACGTCCACGACCACGTCCACGTCCACGTCCACGACCACGTCCACGTCCACGACCACATCCACGTCCACGTCCTCCACGTCCACGTCCTCCACGTCCTTGCCACGTCCTCCATGTCCACGTCCACGTCCAAGTCCACGTCCATGTTCACGTCCACGTCCACGACCACGTCCACGTCCACGTCCACTTCTACGTCCACGACCACATCCACGTCCACGTCCAAGTCCACATCCACGTCCACGTCCTCGTCCACGTCCACGTCCACGACCACGTCGACGTCCACCTTCACGTCCACGTCGACGTCGACGTCCACGTCCACGTCCTCCACGTCCACGTCCACGTCCTCCACGTCCATGTCCACGTCCACGTCCACGTCGATGACCACGTCCACGTCCACGACCACGTCCACGTCCACGTCCACGTCTACGTCCACGTCCACGTCCACGACCACGTCCACGTCCACGTCTACGACCACGTCCACGTCCACGACCAATTCCACGTCCACGTCCACGTCCTCCACGTCCACGTCCTCCACGTCCACGTCCAAGTCCACGTCCACGTCCACATCCACGACCACGTCCACGTCCACGTCCACGTCCACGACCACGTCCACGTCCACGTCCACTTCCACGACCACGTCCACGTCCACGTCCACGTCCACGTCCACGTACACGTCCACGTCCACGTCCACGTCCACGTCCACGTCCAAGTCCACGTTCTCCACGTCCAGGCCACGTCCACGTCCACGTCCACGTCCACGTTCTCCACGTCCACGTCCACGTTCTCCACGTCCACGTCCATGTTCTCCACGTCCAGGCCACGTCTACGTCCACGTCCACGTCCACGACCACGTCCTCGTCCACGTCCACGTCTACGACCACGTCCACGTCCACGTCCACGTCCACGTCCTCCACGTCCACGTCCACGTCCACGTCCTCGTCCACGTCCACGTCCAAGTCCACGTCCACGTCCACGTCCACGTCCACGACCACGTCAACGTCCACGTCCACGTCCACGTCCACGTCCACGACCACGTCCACGTCCACGTCCACGTCCAGGTCCACGTCCACGTCCACGTCCACGTTCACGACCACGTCCACGTCTACGACCACGTCCACGTCCACGACCACGTCCACGTCCACGTCCACGTCCTCCACGTCCACGTCCTCCACGTCCACGTCCTCCACGTCCACGTCCACGTCCACCTCCACGTCCAAGTCCACGTCCACGTCCACGTCTGCGTCCACGACCACGTCCACGTCCACGTCCACGACCACGTCCACGTCCACGTCCACGTCCACGGCCAGGTCCACGTCCACGTCCAGGGCCAGGTCCACGTCAACGTCCACGTCCACGTCCACGTCCACGTCCACGTCCAAGTCCACGTCCTCGTCCACGTCCACGTCCTCGACCACGACCACGTCCACATCCACGGCCACGTCCACGTCCACGTCCACGTCCACGTCCACGTCCAAGTCCACGTCCACGTCCACGTGCACGTGCACGACCACGTCCACGTTCAAGTCCAAGTCCCCGTCCACGTCCACATCCAAGTCCACGTCCACGTCCACGTCCACGTCCAAGTCCACGTCCACGTCCACGTCCACGTCCACGACCACGTCCACGTCCTCCACGTCCACGTGCTCCACGTCCACGTCCACGTCCACGACCACGTCCACGTCCTCCACGTCCACGTCCTCCACGTCCACGTCCACGTCCACGTCCACGTCCACGTCCACGTCCACATCCACGTCCACGACCATGTCCACATCCACGTCCAAGTCCACGTCCTCGTCCACGTCCAAGTCCACGTCCACGTCCACGTCCATGTCCACGTCCACGTCCACGTCCATGTCCACGTCCACGTCCACGTCCAGGTCCACGTCGACGTCCACGGTCCACGTCCACGTCCACGTCCACGTCCACGGCCACGTCCACGTCCACGTCCAAGTCCACGTCCACGTCCACGTCCAAGTCCACGCGACCATGTCTACGTCCACGTCCACGTCCACGTCCACGTCCACGTCCAGGTCCACGTCCACGTCCACGACCACGACCACGACCACGTCCACGACCACGTCCTCGTCCACGTCCACGTCCACGTCCACGTCCACGACCACGTCCACGTCCACGTCCACGTCCACGACCACGTCCACGTCCACGTCCACGTCCACGTCCACGTCCACGTCCACGTGCACGACCACGTCCACGTTCAAGTCCAAGTCCCCGTCCACGTCCACGTCCAAGTCCATGTCCACGTCCACGTCCACGTCCAAGTCCACGTCCACGTCCACGTCCACGTTCACGTCCACGTCCTCCGCGTCCACGTCCTCCACATCCACGTCCACGTCCACCACCACGTCCACGTCCTCCACGTCCACGTCCACGTCCACGTCCACGTCCACGTCCACGTCCACATCCACGTCCACGACCATGTCCACGTCCACGTCCAAGTCCAAGTCCACGTCCACGTCCACGTCCATGTCCACGTCCACGTCCACGTCCATGTCCACGTCCACGTCCACGTCCAGGTCCACGTCGACGTCCACGGTCCACGTCCACGTCCACCTCTACGTCCACGTCCACGGCCACGTCCACGTCCACGTCCAAGTCCACGTCCACGTCCACGTCCAAGTCCACGCGACCACGTCTACGTCCACGTCCACGTCCACGTCCAGGTCCACGTCCAGGTCCACGTCCACGTCCACGACCACGACCACGACCACGTCCACGACCACGTCCTCGTCCACGTACACGTCTGCACCCACGTCCACGTCCACGTCCACGTCCACGGCCACGTCCACGTCCACGTCCAAGTCCACGTCCACGTCCAAGTCCACGCGACCACGTCTACGTCCATGTCCACGTCCACGTCCAGGTCCACGTCCAGGTCCACGTCCACGTCCACGACCACGACCCACAACCACGTCCACGACCACGTCCTCGTCCACGTCCACGTCCACGTCCACGTCTACGACCACGTCCACGTCCACGTCCACGTCCACGACCACGTCAACGTCCACGTCCACGTCCACGTCCACGTCCTCGTCCACGACCACGTCCACGTCCACGTCCACGTCTGGCGTCCACGTCTGCGTCACTTCCGCGTCCACTTCCGCGTCCACGTCCGTGTCCACGTCGGCGTCCACGTCCGCGTCCGCGTCCACGTCCGCGTCCGCGTCCGCGTCCACGTCCGCGTCCACGTCCGCGTCCACGTCCGCGTCCCCGTCCGCGTCCCCCCGTCCGCGTCCGTCCGCGTCCCCGGTCCGCGTCCCACGTCCACGTCCGCGTCCACGTCCACGTCCGCGCCCACGTTCATGTCCACGTCCGCGTCCACGTCCAGGTCCACGTCCGCGCCCACTCCAGGACCACGTCCAGGTCCACGACCACGTCCACGTCCAGGTCCACGTCCACGTCCACGTCCACGTCTACGTCCACGTCCACGTCCACACACGTCCACGTCCAGGCCACGTCCACGTCCACGTCCACGTCCCACGTCCACGACCACGTCCACGTCCACGTCCACCGTCCATGTCTACGTCCACGTCCACGTCCACGTCCACGTCCATGTCCTCCACGTCC